ATACATTTAATTCATTAAATGTCTCGTAACGTAGAGTGATCATAGTATTATTGTTATCTAAGTACGCGAGACACGACAGGATGGAGAGCTATGCACAAGGGACATGTCTGGGGATTTTTAGTATGTCAGTCAGTAAGCTATGGACTGATTGTGTACCAAAATTCAGCTTTCGAGGAATTAGTTTCAATCTTTGTAAGTTTTTTTTCTCATTTGGCTGGAATAAAATGAAATGTAGATAAGAACCTACTGTGTCTTGTTAGTAATTCTTAAATAACAGTGGCAATTTAACTCTGTCCATAGTAGCTCCTCCCGAAAATATTTTCTGTGTACGCCACTAATACGCCGTATTATTATAAATAACTTAAGTTTATTGACATTATCACAACAAATTTGGGAACTAATATTAGATATATTAATAATATTCTGGATCGCTGATAGCTATATTTCTATAAATACATTAATAATATATATTAATAAATTAAATACATTAACATTAATTCATGATACTGGTGTTATGTGCACCACAGCATATTATTATTATACTTATTATTATTATTATTATTAAGTATGTATATGTTAATATGTGGGGACAAATGCTGACTATGCGTTTGTCCATTTTATACATACACGCCTGACCACCCGTTATCGAGCAGTCAGTCGTGTAACAACCAAGCAATTGTAAAATCGTTCTTTCTATATTATAATTTTCAGTGACTCAATAAAATAAATACTTTTAATAAAATTGTTGAATTGATAACTTCCTCGTGGTGTTTTTTTTCTAAAGTGCGAACTTAAAAAACGTTACTGTAGTGCCGACGGACTCTACCGAGGTTACCCGATCTGGCATATAGCACTGGTATTAAAAACGAAAAAAATAATAATTTCAAAATGATTTTAAAAGTTCAATAATTCACAAGTGAGCAAATTTCTGACCACAACATTTTGGAGCCCCCAAAAAATTGGCACCCGGAGCAGTTGTAGCCAGTGCCCCCCCCCCTAAATGCAGCCCTGATTTGAAGCAATATTTCTGGTAAAAAACATCATCCGTATTTATTTAATATTATAAAATCGTGAAATCATGAAAATCGTACGTTTTTCTCTTTTAACCGCTTTTATTTCGAGTACCGTTTCGAAAATCGAAAAATGACCTCCCTAAAGTACCGGCTCAAGAATATTACCTGTCAGAAATGATGCTACACTCAGTGGTTAAAGTGGGAAAAATTTTTTGGAGGGACTATATTCATCAAAAATTGAGGAGCGTTCCTCTATCTAATTCTAAATCTTACTAATTTTTTTTAGGAAACCCATGAGGTCTAAACCTCTTCTGTTACACATATATGTTCATAAAAACTTTATTTTCATAGGATGTAAAAACAAATTTCACCCTAAAAAAAATAATTCCATACATATGTCTGCTCAGTGAAAATAAATTGAAATACATAGTAGGTAATGTTTAAAAAACTTAACTTAAACTTAACAAAACTAAAAAGAAACAATTACTAATCTTGCTAGTGTTGGTCAACGTACACAGTAACAAATACGTACATTGTACATAAGGTGTGTACTATCTATAAGATAGTGTCTACCACAATTTAATATTTATAATTTTTATAGTTACCATTCTTTTCTGTTTATTTATTCTAAATAATAGTCGATACCACTATCACTTTAATTTTAGAGCTATGAGTAATTAACGCTCGGGGATCATCTATAATTAGACACAGCGTCAATTAAATTAATCCATGGTATACATCTAGTAGCTAGGTACAGGAGCGGATTGGCCTATCGGGAAATCGGGAATCTTCCCGATGGGCCGGTCCTAGTTTGGGCCACTCTATATTATTATATTATTACCAAGGCTCGGGACTTATAGTACTAAGAATCATAAATATAAGCACTTAAAAAAGCGCTTAAAAACATCATTATAAGCACTAAAATAAGCATTTAAAAAATTTGAAACTAAGCAAAAATATTTATTAAAAAAAAAAAAACTATTTTTCTCTTATATTTCTCTGTTCTTGATGTTCTATTTTCAGCGTTGGAATATCTTTGTTAACCATACACCGATGCCTTAGACGGCGATGAACTACATGACAACGTAGATAAAATGAGAATCATTTTTAAATTTTAATTCTATCAAAAACGACTTTACAGGAGAAAACTATAAAAATTAAAAAAAAAAACTGGTCAAATAAGCAAAAATAATCAGAAAAGCTGGAAATAAGCATTTTTTTGAAAAATCGCTGAAAAAAGCAAAAAAAGGCACTTTCAAATTTCATAATTGTACGTGTTATAACTTGGCATACACTTCTATAGCACTCTGCTACATTTTAAGTTAATCCATAAAAATAAGCAAATGCTTTGACTCCCGAGTCCTGATTATTACCAAAAAAAAGTTTTATTTTGTAAAATAAATAAAAATCATTAAAAAAATAAATATACATTCAAAGATGCGTTAAGATCAAACTTCAAGTTGGAACTGATTAATCATGTGACTTACCCAATACTACTATAGTTATAATTATAGTAAAGTTATTGTAGATTTTACTAATTTAGGAGTGAAACTAAACAAATTTTGAAATGGATGCAAAATAAAGCATTTTTTTTTTGGACGGGCTGGGGGGAAAATAGTTAAATTTGCGGTTCATGGGCCGGTTTGTTTCATATTTCCTGGGCCGAAAATAATTGCCAATCAGCCCCTGGCTAGGTAAGACAGAAATTTGAATCTTAATCTAATGTTTTGGTATGCGAAATTAAATTTGGCATATTTGGAATATTTCAAATTATTATGCATATTTTAGCATTTTTATGAAATATAATTCATATATAGAAAAAAATATACCGAAGTTGATTATTAATATTATTTATTACTTAGCGACATGGACATGCCATTGTAATTCCGTGAATTGTACAGTTATATAATTTGATTTTTGTGTTATAATAAAATAACATTAAGTTTGCTAAAAGTACCAATTCGATAGTAACTCTCCAGGTAACTTAAAAAATATTATAAAAATCCACTATAATTGTTTGATTTGATTGATTTTCATTTGTAACTTTTTGTTTAGACGAGTAAGTGTTCAAAATATAATCTAATTTCAATACAATATGTAGTTCCATACAGTTCAATAAAATATATAAAATATAGTTAACATATTTTAAAGTATATTTTTTGTTAAATATTAATTATTTAATGAACTGTATACATTTTAAAATTAAATAAATTTAATAAATAATAAACATGCATTTTTGTTTGCATATTTTTGCATATTTTGAGTGCATATTTTAATGATAACCATCGCATAAATGCATGCATATTTCATACATTTTTACTGCATATAATTCCGGACCCTAATAATAAGTATTGTTTATTCAATATTATATTTTAGTGACTAATGCCATTAAGCGTTCACCTGGACTTTTGGCGACTTAAATTAAAGAGGACGCATAATCTTACCTTAAATAAAAAGGGGGACTCCGTCCCCCCTCTTTAACCACTGGCTACACTTGATACTTTTGAGCAAGTTTAAAGGGAGAAAAAGTGTTTACAGAATAAAAAAGAAAAAGAAATAAACTTCAATGTAAAACCAATACATTCCTCGCTCCTTTCAGAATCTAAAACAAATGCCTGAAACATAGGCGGCACTAGATCCTCTTGGCAGGGGGGGGGCAGGAAATACTTTAAGTAAAATATTAACACTATTTTGTCTAAATCTATAGACTAGCAATACTATAAAAAAAAAGTATTTTATTGATAACTATTTTAACTTATTTCAAATAAGATTATTTTGTAAAATAAATTATTCACTTACAAATACTTAAATTTATATTATTCTATCTTATAAAATTTAAAAAAAATAACTTACCACAATTTACCTGTGATGGCTCACATAGGCGAACCCAGAGTGAGAGTATCAACATTTGAGTGTGCCCTGACATTTTTTGGTTATTTTTTCAAAATATAAAGGAGAGGCTATAAACACGTACATGTAAACCGTGTTATGATTTAAATTCTAAAAATAAAGGCATCGTTAATGATTTAAAATAACGATTGGCAAAATATACACGTAATTATTATTTCAACACTTGCAATATTACTTACAAAAAACTAAAATTTAATTAATGTGTATGCACATATATTCTCAATTGTAATCATTCAATTTTTTTATTCGCATTATTCACATTAGGGTGTGCCAAGGCACACTCGGCACACCTCGCAGAGCCGCCTATGATGGTTCTTGTATGAAAAAGTCGTATAAATTATTTATTTTTTTACTTTAGTTTGTGTTCATAATTTTTATTATAATTAATATTATCCAAAAAACTCAAGAATACTAAATAAAATACACACTTCAAATCAAAGTAAAAAATCATACAAAACGTTTGTGATACAGATAATAATAAAGTAATAATATTGGTTCATGATTTGTCAATGATAAAAATATATTATAATAATATTGAAAATGTTGACGCAAAAAATCTTATCAGCATATTTACATGAATGGCTCCCACGGTTGTAGATAATAATATTATTACTTATAACCATGCAGACTCTAAATAAGCGTGTAATATGAGGGGTTATCAACCAATATTTTAAATGTATAGGTAGAGTAAGAACTCGCAGGGGGGCAGCCGCCTACCTTGCCTCTTCCGTAGTACCGCCTATGGCCTGAAATATTTACAAGACCAAAATTAAACTCATGTCAATTTTGATCTGTATATTACCTGTAATAATGCAATAATGAAGTACAAACAATAATGCGAAATAATAAATAATGGAAAAAAAGTAATGGGTAGTTAAACATTTACCTATATAAAATCATTATTTATATATTTTTATTTTATCTTATACCTAGATCTACATTAAAATTATTCAAAATACATATTATAACTTATAATATAGGTACTAATTTAAATTCATGTAATTTTACTATCCTTAGATGAAACTAAGAGCATATAAATTTTACTGATCGACAACTAATTTTTTATTTACATTTTTACTAAATGAATTCTTGGTTAAGAATTTTCCTTTTTATGTATACTTCAGTCAGGTAAGTCTGAGTGAAATTTGTCAGTGATTCGATTTCTGCTTTTTTGTTAAGTTTATGTAGCATCAAAACCTTTATTAAATAATTTTTACATTAATTTTTTCATATGTGTTATTGTATTTGTATAATATATCAAGGAATTTGATTTAAATTGATTGTGTTATGAAAACAAATTTAAAATGTGCAGTAAATTATTATTTTAATGATACATACCTGTTGTAAGAGTTTTTTATTAGAATTTATGTAAGGTCTTTTCAAAAGTGATTTTACTCGGGCCTGGTCTAAATCAGTTAATGAAATACTTGTTAAATTTAATGATTCAATATCTGTTGGATAGACTCCCAGCCATTTTATTGATGGAACACTGAGCATGTCATTTTGATAAAACATGGTCTATACATTAAATTAATTAATCATTTAATATTTTGGATGAAAAGCCTAATATATATATATATATATATATATATAGCTTAATATTCGAAATTGTATTTATTTAACACATGAGATAATTGGGTACTTTATCATACTTAGAGTAACCTGGGGTATAATGGCGCACCTAACATTTAACAGCTATTATGTGGTAGCATACATGTTTTAGAAATATTATTAAATTGTTTTCCTATCATAAATATTACGTAGATTTTAATTTTCCGGTCAAAAGTTGATTTTACCAAAGCAAATACCAACAATTCTAAATAATTAGAAATTATAACAAATGCGTCTTTTGACAACATTATTGGGGTAAAAGTGCGCACCTGATGGGGTAGTAGGGCACATGCTAAATTAATTCATAAAAATTTAACAGTTTTCAAATTAACATGTGAGCTATGGTTATCAAGAATAAGAAGAACTGGAGAATCTGTGGCGGCAACATTATTTATAGCGTGTTTGTATTGTTTTCTCGATTCGTTGTTCTCCCGATAGCGAAAACTATTTCGGAACTAGAATATTCTAGATATACCGCCGACCGGGCGGCGATCGACTGAACGTATTAGCGTTCAATTAGTGATCATCCGTGAACCGTGAAACGCTCTTCCGACATGTATATATAAATTGTTTATGTGTGTATTTTTATTAATGTAATATAACAGTATTATTATTTGAAGTAAAAGAATAGTCTTTCTTCATTATTAATACTTAAATACCGACAAATCCACACTTGATCTTGTATGTTTTTGAAAGTGAACTAGCCATTGAATAAATAAATCTGTATTAATATAGCCAATATCTGATATCGTTCCTAATGTCTTAGGTGCAACATCTAGTAATTCTACTTTCATTATTTTCCTTGAAAATATAAGGGCAGGTGGCACATATTTCACTTGCACTGAAACAACATACATCAGTTAGGAGTTCCCCTCTCTCTGCAGCAACTGTTTTTCCGACTATTTTTTTTTTTTACCTTTTGTCGATATAACTTTGGGTACTTTATTTGGAACAGTTGACATGCCTGTTTCATTCATGTTTAAAATCCTACTTGGAGGAAATTGAAACTTTTGATACATATATTTTAAGTTGGAGTAATCTGTACACGATTAAATCCCATCATACGAACAACACTTGTTTTCTATGGAGTACGTATCGATAAATTATGTCGTTTTAAAAATGAAGCCACCCAATCATACCCAGCTAACTTATTTTGATGGTTTAATTTGTGGTTTAACTTATTTAGATCTGCAAACTGATAACCAATCTGCTGTAGTTTTTTAAATGACAGCCAAAAAATCGATTATCAGGTGAAGTATAATTATTTAATAAATATTACATATTATTATTTAATCATTTGTTATTACATCATAAATATAATATGATATAATGTACCCATTAGTTTAAATAAATAAATAAATAAATAAATAGATAGGTATAATTAAATTTTTAAAAATTCATTTTGAAGCTATGATAGAAAAATTAAATGTTTGTGTAAGAAACAGTGTTCGACTTTTGGGGGGACGCAAGGGGACGGAGTAACCCTTCTAATTTTTAGAAATTTTAGCGTCCCCCTACTATTAATACGTTATAATTATAACGCTTAACAAGTTTTAGAGACACAATTTTTTTTTAAGCAAACAGAGTCCCCCTTTAATTTTGCCAAATACTGCGCACTTTTACCCCAAAATTCACTACGCCATTTTACCTCAATATGATTTTCTGCATAAACAGTATTGTAGTATATTCAGTTGGTATCATATTAATATTTTACTAGTATTAACGTTTAGTCACCAACTTGTATTTAACGAATACATATAAAAGCAACATCTAACGCAGCGGTCCCCACTACGCGGCTCGCGGGCCGCATGTGGCCCTTTAGTAACTTTATTACGGCCCGCACTAAAATTAAATTGTTCATTCTAAAATCCAAAATTCTATAAACAGTGAATAAAAGAACGTCGCTTATTATCTTATCATTTTTATTTATTTTGTCTTTCTATTTTAAACTTGTATTGAATTACCACTTGGACAGATAAGTAGGCACCTACGGGCTACGATTGTGAGTTTATTTATTTCCACACAGTTTATCCGTTATCGCTTATTGTCCGTTTGTATTTTATCCCGTATTGTCGTTACAATATGTAATTCTGTGCTTCTAGCATCGTGTGTTCTAGTTTCTGTGAGTAAGCTGTTAATTTTAATTCTTTATGATGGCAAAACGTAAGATCGAAGATGAACACAGAATATTTCAAGACAGTTGGGAGATTGAATTTTTCTGTATTTCTGGTAAGAAACACGATGCTTTATGTTTAATTTGTCGTAAAACCATAAATATTCCAAAACGTTATAATATTAATCGTCATTACACAACTCACCATACTGAATTTTCTAAAAATTATCCACGCCCATCTAAAATAAGAGAAGAAAAACTAATTGAATTAAAAAAAGGAATTTTTTCTGAAAAACAATCAATGTTACGGTTCACCAATAAAAATGAACTTGCTACAAAAGTATCGTATGAAGTAACACATATGTTAGCCAAACGCATGAAACCATTCTCGGATGCCGAACTAATAAAAAAATGTATGGAAACAGTTGTAAATACTCTGTTTTGTAATTTTTCCAATTTTAAAGAAATACGTGACCAAATTTCAAGTCTGCAGTTATCTGATGCTACATGTGTTCGTAGGATCGAACATCTTGGAAATCAAGTATTCGATTCAGTGATCAAAGAATTAAGAGATTGTCGATTTTTTTCTTTAGCATTAGATTCTTCAGTAGATATAAGCTCTACTTCTCAATTAATACTTTTTGTTAGATTTTGTTCAAAAGATAATATTATTAAAGAAGACTTTTTGAAAGTCATACCGATGGAAAGCCAAACTCGTGGCGTGGATTATTTTGAAACAATTTCTACATTTTTTGGAAAAAATAAAATAGATTGGCAAAAGTTAATTTCCATATGTACAGACGGTTGTCCTTCAATGGTTGGAATTAATTCTGGTCTTGTTACTCTTATTAAGAATAAAATTGAAAAACCAAAATTAATCAATTTCCATTGTATTATTCATCAAGAAAATTTAACATGTAAATTTCCAAATGATTTTAGTGTTGTCATGAATAAAATAATTAAAATCGTGAATTTTATCAGAGCTAGAGATTTAAATCACCGAAAATTTAAAGAATTTCTTTCCTAACTAAATTCCCAATACAGTGATATTATGTTTCATACTGAAGTGCGATGGCTAAGCAAAGGTAAAGTCTTAGAACGATTTTTTTCCCTTCTTGAAGAAATTAAATTATTTATCCACGAACAAAAATCTGAATTTCCTGAAATAAACTCATTAGCATTTTGGTACAAACTTGCATTCTTTACAGATGTAACTCAAAGTTTAAATATACTTCAAACCAATCTGCAAGGAGAAAATAAACTTATCACTCACATGGCCAGTAAGATTTTTGCTTTCGAAGAAAAGCTCAGAATGTACATTGAAGAAGTATCTGAAAATGATTTTTCAAGTTTTCCCAAATTTGATTTAATGACGAAAGAAAATACAATTTTTTCTGATGAAGAAAACCTAACTCTGAAACCTCAACTGCTTGAACTATTAGGCACTTTAAAAAATGAAATGAATAGTCGTTTCAATGATATTAAAAACTTAAGAAATTCATTTCGATTTATTGAAAATCCGTGGGCAGTAACTACAAAAGAAATATTTGAAATTAATATTATGAATTGTCATATTGGTTTATTGAAAAGTGAATTAATTGACTTACAGCAAGACATAACATTAAAAGATATTTTTAATGGTAAAAATAATACAATGGAATTTGGAATACACTTGAGGACCATCAATATCCTTCCCTTTTATCAAACGTAAAAGGTATTCTAACATTTTTTGGATCGACATATTTATGTGAGGCGGCTTTTAGTAAGGTAACATTTATAAAAAACAAATACAGAAATCGTTTGAGTGATGTGCATTTGGACGATTTACTGCGGTTGTCAACATCAAATACTACCGTAGACATAAACAAAATTATAAAAGAAACAGAAAGATACCGTCCATCAACATCAAAACAACATTAAATCAAAAAAATTAATTTTAATTATATAAATATAAATATTACTCTAATAATTTAAAAAATATATAAATTTAATATAATAATATGAATAATTTGTATTTTGTATAAAATAAACTATGAATTGAAATTTAAAATTATAATTATAAATTCCAGAAAAACATTTATGTCATTCACGTACTTTTTCCTACAATACCCTTTCATAACAATATATATAATTTTTATGTTTTTAATTATTAAAAAAATAATTAAAAATGTATGCGGCCCACAAATAATTTTCAAAAATTACATTTGGCCCATTCTACAATCCTAGTGAGGACCGCTGACCTAACGTGTCGTTATATAGTACACATTACTACTTCTATACTACTCAAACATGGGTGTAGCGAGGGTGGGGCAGGGGGGGCACTTGCCCACCCCTGCGCCACAAACTGAATTACATTTTTTTATACCAAACGTGTAAGTTTTACATTAAAATCAAAAATTAAATAAGATATAATTCTAAAAATAGTTTAGCGGGACCGAGTGATATCTACACGTGTAATCGTTTTGACGTTTTATGTGTTATCCAATGGTCTATCTGTAGATTATTTGAATTACGAGTTTAACACTAATCATTTTATGTTTTTGCCCCTCCCTTATTCAAATTTTAGCTACGCCCATGTACTCAAATATTATATCAGACAAATACAATTAATACTTTATCTTAGTGTTGGGCGTAATCGAGATATACGATCGAGTTATCTCGATTATGAAAATTATAATTCGATTGAATACCGGAGAGATTATTTCGAGTGATATTTGGTTTATTTTAAAAACAATGAATTCTTATTATCGAAATGTGTATCGAATGAAAAAATATTTTGAATGATTTTCATGGAACGAAGAAGTGAGGGAGGAATACTATTTTTAATATTCATAATCGAATAAGTAAATGCTAGTTGTTCACTTTGAGTCTTTATATTTTCAATTAACTCGTGAGACTGGTTGTTAGACAAATATTGATGGGCATACAATTATTCTTAGTTATTTATATTACTTATAGCTATAATTTTTTAATTACTCAACCACAAAACAACAACAATTTCTTAGAACGTTTATAAATAAAATTATATTATATTTATATTTATATATTATATTTCAATTGAACGTTTCGAATGATTATTTCGAGACATCTCTCGATTATAAAAATGTCTCTAACGAATAATTCGATTATGCCCATCACTACTTTATCTCATATTGACGCCAAAACTTCAACAACTATTGAAAAAAATGTTTCATCACTTTTGGTTATGAAATCATAATCATAATAACAAAAATGTTTGACCAGATAAAAATTATTAAATTACTTATACGCAATAGTTCATTTTGCCCCATGTGCTTGTATACTTCAGGTTACTCTACATAAAGAATTTCTTACATTTGATCCAAATCTGTAAACGCACATAATTTCTATACCAAAAGGATTGGCATCCACTAAAGCTAATATTGGTATATTTAATTTACGAGACAGTTGTTTCACAAACAACCGGGTATTAATATCAGGAAATCCTTTACCCTAAAAAACAATTTAATATTTAGCTTTATTAATAATTGTAAATTTAAACCATATCAAATTACAATTTACAAGTCTTAAAACGTAAAGTAAAAGTAAAAGTAGATAAAAGTAAGTAAAATAATTTGATAAGCACAAATAGTAAAAATATTCATATTTATATGAAAATTATTTAAAATTTCTTTTGCTTTGCATTCAATTTTATAGTTATGCATATTGACTAAAAGAAATTATAAATTAAATGAAACCTGTCTTGACTGACGAAATTTAGGCGTAATTATACAATATTGTTATTACTATTGTTTTCAATTAAATTTACCAAAAAATAGATTAGGTACCTTCGACATAGATTATACAACGATTAAAATAATATACTTAACTCAATAAAAATAATACTTCGTACAAGGGAGTTTACTAATTGGGCTCTAAACATTTTAGGTCAATATACCAATTGCGCTCTAAATATTATAGGGTTTATTGACCAATTGCGCTCAAAACCTTTTACAAGACCCAAAGTAAACTTAGTTAAGTTAAACTTAGTAAGTTAGTTTTAATTATATAATAAATAAATAAACAAACCAATTTTTATTCGATTATAAATAAATAAATTTTTTTTTTTCTTCACATTTAACAAGTTACTTTTTGCTCGTCAATTATTCAAAATTAAGTTATCATTATAAATATAATAAAAATAAATAATACACTGATTTTTTTTTTTTTTGCTACTATTAATGCCTATAAATAAATCAAATTCAAAGTTATACCAATTACATTATCATTCACATTTAAACGTTTTTACAATATTAAATAAATTGTATTAACAATATTTTCATATCTGAAGGTAGGCAAATTTGAATAACACAATTGATACATTGACCGTAAAATATATTGAGCGTAGTTGATATATTAACCCTAAAGAAAAACTCTTTTTTAGGTGCATTTAGTCCATATCTACATACTATATACGTATTATATAAGTAACATAAATAAATCGAATTACATTTTAATATATAATTCGTAGTTTAAGATATATTTTTAAGTGTCGTGTTTCAATGCCAAATAGCTATTGTTTAAAAAAAAAAAAATTTAATATATATTATTTATAATAATTTATGGTTTATGTACTTAGACATAATTATGTTAAACTAAAGTAATATGCATGTTTAAACTTACAGTTATAATAATAAATGAGCATTCATTTTTTTTCAATAAACCTTCATTAATAATTTTTTGAAATGATGCGTTTTTTTCAATTATTAGAATATATTTCGCGGATGACTTAAAATCTTGTATTTCTAAAATATCTTGGGGTATTTGAATTCCTAAAAAAGACTCACGTTATAATATATTAGTACCAAATAATAACATAAATATATAATTCTAAAAATGATTACACCGTACAATTTCTAAATGAGATATTTTAAAAAATGAAATAAATTATAAAATATTGAAATTCTAAGTTTTAAATATTAAAATTAAGTTATGAATTATTAATTACTAGGTACAAGAATTTCAGTAACATATTTAAAATATTTATGAAAGACATATTTAAAGAATATCAATATGGAACTATAGTTTACAATGTGAATAAGTAGGTATTTTTTTGAATTTTAAAAATCAATATTTTAAATTATTATGAGTAAGCTAACTATTTATTATAGCTTTATTTTATTTTATTTAATTTTTTATTTATTTAACAACTAGTAGAGAAGTTTAGGGAAAAGAAGAAAAAATGATGCATGGTAAATATAGATTTAGAAAAGGCGTAAAACAGAGTCCCAAGAGAAATTTTAAAGTAGCCATAAATGAGAAAATAGGTCTCAAAAATATACAGTTACGAAAGACATACCGGGTGAGATACTATGATGTATGATGTTTGCTAATGATATAATTTTGGTAGGAGAAAATTTGGAATAAGTCAATAATAGATTGGATGAGTGAAGGTTAGCTCTTGAAGGAGAAAAGGATTGAGAATATGAGTTGAGGGTATGGGAGACCAATGATAATAAGTGATGTTGTGACAGGTGAAATTGAGAAATTTAAATATTTAGGATTATTTATATGAAAGGATGAGGGCTTTAAAATGGATGTAAAACATAGGATTAAGTATGGTTGGATGAAATTGTGAGAAACGTCAGGCGTTATTTGTGATGATGGAATTTCACAGAAGCTGAAAGGTACATTTTACAGGAGTGCAGTGAGACCAACTATGCAAAAATAATTCGAAGTTTTGGACAGTTGACAGGAGAATAGAACAGAGTATGAGTATATAATAAAAAAACACACATAATGGTAACACCTATACATTCCTCATTTCACTCAGAATCTATAACAGATGTACTGCAATTAGTGCTCTTCTTTTGTTGCGGGTAATACCCGAGTACCCAGGTATTACTGTATCCGGGTAATATCCGATTTTGTGAGTAATCAACGTTTTCGGGTATTGGGTACCCATTACCCAAAATGTTCAGGTACCCAAAAGTTTTTAATACGCATAAATGGTCAAGCTAAGATCTAACTGCTAGAAGGAAATTAGTATTACTTTATAATTATACAATTATACGAATAAGAAATATTCCTCTTTTAATTTAACAAAATTATGGTTTAAAAATAAAATGTTTAGTATTTGTTAAGTATTTTTAGTGATTTTTTAGTTTATTAAATAATAAGTTTATTAAAATATAATGTTAAATATCATGTTAAAAACTATTTTAAATCCTATATTAAAACCTAGTAGCTAATGGCTATAGTTATACCTTGTATGTGTAATAAGTATTGACAATCATACAAATATAGATGTAATGCAGCAAGTGCGACAATATTATATTGTTATCAGACAGCTGGTCATCTCTTGTACAAATTTTTGAGATGACTGTAGCCTATTGGTCAAGTAAATGACGAGTACACAAACCATAATGAGTACCCAATCCATAACAGGTATCCATAAATTTTGTAAATCGGGTAATACCCGTAAAACCAAGGTACCCGGGTACTCGGGTATCAAGAGCACTGCAATGGTATAAGCTTATTTTCTATATGTATATTAAATAATGATAGAATTTAATTTTAATGCAATAGAACTTCAACTATAATTAAAATCTATAGTTAATACTTTTAATAAAATTAATATAATGTAATTAAGAAGACATTTTGTATAGGTAGTTAGTTATTTATTATTTCTTACCTTCAATATTTTTAGAACAATCAAAAATCCTACCATTATACATATAAATCATTAGACTTCCTGCAACTAATCCATTAGAAGTTAATGTAATTCCTAGCTCCCAAGATTTTGTTCCTAACAAACAACATATATCAATAAGTGCTTTTCGGACAATGTAATCATGTTTGAATAGAGTCGTATTTCCATAGTACAGTTCCCTGAAATAGTAATTAAATATCAAGTTGTACACAATTTTTTATTTTTTAAAGTTACTCGATCATATTACAATTCTATTAAAAGTTGGGATATATTATATACAAATACACTAAAAGTTAATTTCACTGTTCATTTTTTCTTCGTACTTTGTTGTATTAAAAAGGATATAGATACGATTTTATTAGTAGTAGAATAAAAAGTCTACTATAAAAGTTATAATTATTAATTTTTAAAATCTGAAAAAATCTAGTATAGGCGTGCAGTATAAACTATTACATTTGCATAAAAAAAATGAATTTTAACCATAACTTGGTTAAATAAATAAAAATGAATGTTCCAAGTTACCTTGAGTTTCGGGTGACATGAAACGGTAAGGTGTTTTTAAATATTTTTGAGCATTTAACCTACAATACATTTTACTTGGAACATAAATAAGGTTTTTAAAAACATCTTTGTACATATGATAACCTAAAGAAGTCAATAGGTAACCTAAATATTATATAAAAAATAAATTAAACACATTCTTTTTTATGTCTCAAATAATATGAGTTTGGTGACTTAAATTTGGTCTACAAAAAAATGTTTTTATGATAATAGTTTGTAACATTAATTTCTGTTTAATGATAAGAAATATCAAAAAATATGATAAAATGTTTCTGATAGGAAATGTAACAACATAAAATATCATGAAAAGATAAACGATATGTAATCGAAACTCGAAGTTCTATCAAATTCAATAAAGAAAAATCATAGTATTCCAAGTCACCACTCAAGTTCCATTTCATCTGTGTTGGCGGTATATTATAAAACTATCACATTTTTTTATAAATGACTTTTTAATAAATATTAAATAGGTATCAGTCTGTTTAGACTAAAGTAAATTTAATCATAAATACCTATTCATAGACATAACTTGGAAATGTATTAGGAAGGGGGGCAAAAATATAATTATATATTATCAAACGAAAAGGGTGTCCGAGGCTAAACGCCGCTTTACTACCTACACATTATTATACTCGTATAAAATTATTCATTTTCCAACATTATGTTACATAAACGAAAATTTAAAATTAAGGTTTTAAAAAGAAATGTTATAATAATAGCTATAATCAGCTGTTTTGTACTTATTTTAAAACAAGGTATATTAAATGTTAGAAGGGGCACTGCCCCTTTTAATTTATTCTAGGGGAAATTTCCCCCTTGCTCCCCTCCAGTTTACATTCATATGAACCTATTACTATAATTTCGATTTATTTACCTTGTTGTACAAGAATTATTAGTTATTAAATTTTTATAAATTTTTGATAAAATATAAATTATAATTGTAAACTTAGTTCGACTTCGTTTGGTAGTAAACACTAATGTTTTAGTTATAAGTTGCTTATTATTACTGTAAACACGATTAGACCTGAAAATTAAAAATTATAACTATGACTTGTCTGACTTTAAACTTCTATATAGTTAACCTTATGGTTTATAGTATTATAGGTAATTTTTTATATTGGTAACTCACCAGCTAGAAAGTTTAGTTAAATCAATCATAAATTTATTGTTATTGTATAAGCTATTAACAATACTCAAAATTGTATTTTCTATTTGTATTAAAATCATTTTTGTTCTTTCCTTTCCATTAACACCTAAAACCAATATATATATCGTTTAATAAAAATTCGTTGAAATATTCGATTTCGTCAAACTTTAATAATTTAGTAATTCTCTTAAATCATTTTTGCGACTATTGAGTAATTTTTTTTTTTTTACAAAAAAAAAATATTATGAAAATTCTAGTGTCTAATTGTTATCATTTAAGCTTGAAAACTGAAAATTTGAATTTATGATTTTGTAAAATTAAACTCAAAAAAATATAATGAAGTTCAAATTTTTTTTTTTAATTAGTAATTGTTGCATATTAAGAATTCCGTTCCATTTTCAAGATTTTTTGTCAAATCAATTATTTTTTTATTTTAATTACGATGAAAACAAAAATTCGATTTTTTCGAAACCGGTATGCTGTAAATGTTGCCATTTATTTTATATTTAGTTATACTATAATGCAAATATAATACCCATATTACATGTAAGTCCCTACTAACTTTTTGAACACAGCGCTGTCTTCATGTTGTATGTTTATTTAATTATTATAAATCTCAAGAATGAATTTTGTTTGAAAGCTATATGTCTTCATAAAGATTCGATTAGGTATGATTTACATTTAATTGAACATCATAATACCTAAATCTTACTTACTTAGATAAGTAAGTATCAAGATAATAATGATAAAAAAAGTTTTTTTCAGAAATGCGCGAATATGATGAAGAAATATTTTCTGCTAGTCATCGACCTTGGTACTTCTACAGCATTATGGCTCCCGATAACCTAAAACGTGGTATTGTTAGAAATATACAAGCGGACGATTAGATTATTATTTCTTTGTTTCTCCGGTGCGCGAAACTGATGTTTTTAGTTTTTTTTTTTTAGTGGTGAGGTGATTTATCTATTATCTCTGCCTTCCCTCTTAAACATAATAATCATATTGAAATTATTATAAAAATAATTAATAACAATGATTAAAGACTGTATGAATTTAAATATACATATTTAATATTAACATACACTAAAATATTATATAAAAATTAATATTCAGACAATCTCGACGATAATTCGAACATGACAAAGAAAACGAACTGTAGTTCACAAAAACCTATCAGTTCTTGTCTGAATCTATCTCTATCATCGTTATTAAACGTGTACTTATAGCTGATAATTCGTTTATTTAAAATTGGAATACGGCCGCCGTTTAGACATATATTTTTAGTTTAAGCGGCAGCCGATGATCAGTCTTGTAAGGTGGGGGGTACTCAAGTAAAAGTACCTATTTGAATAAAAATATTCAAATACTTTTCATGTGCTCAAATACGTAATTTAATAATTTTTGAAAAAAATACTTGGACACAGTATTTTATATACTTCCCCAGAGTATCTGTAATTAAAATCAGATACATTTTTTTACTAATTTTATTTCAATTCTATCACGTTAAAATAATAAATTAATTTACCAATTATATATTTATATTATATTGTTAATATTTATCAACCATTTATCAGTACAATATAAATAAAATCAATATTTATTTGTAGTATATTATAAACATTTGATGTACAAACCTTTTACGAGTGTATTTGAAGACTTAAAGAAAAGGCGAGTTATCAGTCAGAATAGAGAATTGTAGTTGTAAATCAACCTTAGGGTAGATAAAAAAAAAAAAAAAAAAAAAACTACTATTCATATTGTCCAACAATAAAATAAGTAATATCAATGAATTCATGTGAGACAAGTTTCTAAAAAACAAAAATATTTGATTACATACATATTTTAATACTTGTGGAGTGATACTGGAGTGCATTTTTTTTTCCACTTCAGTTACATTTTGGTTTAAGCCATCTCACAAGTTATGATCGATGGCATGAAATTGATTTTAGATATGATACACATAGGTTATATATTATATTATGAAGATAAATAAAATACACAATACACGTAGATGTTTAATAGTGTAGTAACGAAAACTTTATTGAAGCAAAAATAAAATTTCAGTTATTTAGTATAGTTTAGTTACATAATACACTAAATTCGGTAAACATTTACATATACTATATATACTACCTATATAAACAGAAAAGTAATGAATAATAGTGTACATTGACATAAAACATAACACAAAACAAAACGTGTTAACTAACACAATATATATATATATATATATACCTAGGTAGGTAGCATGTGTGTATACAAAACAATCATATATCATATATCTAACGGAGATCTATTTAAAATACTCACTATAATAAAGTAGATGCCAATGACGCGCACAATTTGGCAGAGTATTCTATTTTTGCTTTAATTTCAAACTCTAAACCATGTACATATATCAACCATGTAGAACATATTTTAACATACAAAGTAAGTGCACTAGTGCCCCCCAGTGATAATTGAATGCTACTCTGTGGTGGGTGATCATGTCACTAACATAATCTCATAACAACCGAAATGACAGAAGTTGATTTTCTTTGTATGTTATTCTAGTAGACAATTATATTGAAGTGCCATCCAGTGAAATTACTTAAAATATGTTCTGCAACTATGAGTAATAGACTTTCTTCGAGAGTGATACACGTAACGTCCGTACAAAGACCGAATCGTCGACAGAATTCATGATAAAAAACATAACTTATTAGGGTTATTTACTATATTAATGTGAAAACTAAATAAATTTAAATAAATAATCCAAATTGCAAGCGTAAGAATTCAAAACTCGGTAAAAGAAGTTGTATTTCTCGACAAGAAGTTTTAAAGATTTAAAGCGATTTAAAATTATTTAGATCAAACGAATACCAACGGAACTGTGAAATTTAAACCGTAAACCCCTAACTGTATTAGGTGTCTATTAGTAAAGTATGAATGGTCAAGTGTGAGAGTGAGAGAAAGAAAGACAGTAATGATTAGATGAGAGAAAAATTAAAAGTGTAAAAATCATCTCTGAACAAAAATTGTTTAAACATAAAACATATTAAACTCTTGTCCGTATTGTCTTAAAATATTTTATTGTACTTATGACTGGTATAAATTTATTATTTTTATACATATAATGTACCTATATACTAACGTGTAAAATCTATAATATATATATATATAGATTAATGTTCGAGAAAAACAAATTTGTGCAGTTGCCACGAGAAAACGATGTCACGCAAAAAACTATTATAAAATATATCGAAATACAGTTACATTTACATACATGGCATATTATACTGCACGTCACAATATTAACCGCATATATTTATCGTTTATTTTATTTTATTTTTTTTTTTTTTGAAGGTATTACAAGCCATCAGAGAAACTTCTGCTATGGCGGCAAGGGATGGTAAATACGACGAAAAACAACCACAAACTAAACGAACATTACGAAAAACTTAGGTACGCCATAAATAGTGATAATACAAGTATCTATACAAAGCTTATGGTTGTATGTTTCTACCGTATCGTAGTTCGGGTAAATGATTTGACGCCTGAGTTAGTGTATCTATGCATGCTATAACATCAAGTGTAAAATTGAGTGAATAAAAAAAAAACGTAGCGTAAATGGAATTAAAAAAATATTGAAAATACGCAGACTTAAACGCCAGCGAGCGAAATAATCACATTAGGGGATTACAAATACTGAAAGCGATTTCAATAACAATATTAACAAATTATAACATGACTAAAAGTGAAAATAAAACGAATGATGTGCAATTATCGCAGAATGTCATGCTATAAAAATCATGTACATAGAATATAGGTGATGTGTGTATAACAATGCCCTGGTGGCTTATTGTTGAAAATGCGCCTAGTAACAAAATTAAAATAGGACGGATTTCGTTATTATGTTATAATATCGAATTTTTGTTGTTTTTTTTTTTTTTTTATTTTAATGAGGATAATATCCTCAAAAATAATTAATAAAAAAAATCGTCGAAATGCGATTGTCGTAATACAAATGAATACATGTTCTAGACAAAATATATAAATTGGTGTTTTGAAGTTTAGTTTTCTGGAGAAATACATAATATAATAATCACAACTTATTGCTTAACACATTTTCCAATAATCGTGCACAAAAATTGCTCAGTGAGTTAAAATACACACACACACACACACACACACATAAATGTATAACTTAATTGTATGGTTTTAGATAAGATCACTAATATCTATATAATATTTTTGAGAAAATTATAACAAATATTATTATTTAATAGTTTTAAAAATTGAATTAATATCTAAAATGCATTTCATTTACGAATGATATGTTTCTATGTTAAGCAAATGAGAACAACAAATTTTTTTTTTGGATTTGAATCTTATGCTTCCTACACATTATTATTATTATTATTAACAATTAAATAACTTACATTTTAAAATTCACATTTTATTAACATCTAATTCATTATGCTAAGTTAAAATCAAATAATTAGAACAATGTTTTTGATTTCAATTTATAAATTTATAAATGAAGCTTGAAATATTCAGGACAGTTGAACACTGATTTGTTATGACGCATTTATCTTAATAATATAATAATAATGTTAAATATGAAAAAGTAAGATACTGTACTAAAATCGCTTTAATTGAATAATCTAACTATGAAGTATAAGAAATTTAAAATTAATTTACTTGATAAATTTAAATAAAATATAAAAACAATAAATATTTATAATTAAAACAATGAATAAAAGAGAATAAATGTAAAAATGTATGTGCATTTTTAAAGAAAAATCATGAAAAAATAAAGGAAGACTCAGAAGTTGGCCAGTTTTTAACTAATAGAGAATGAGGTAATGATATGGCTATAAAGCCTTCAATTATGTATATTTAACAGTAAATCATTTTATAAATTGGTATGTGTAAAATATTTTAATTTTTTTTATCAAATCAAGCATCAAATTTCAAAAGAATATCAATTGGTGTAAATGGAGGCTGATAAAAAGTTTATAAATACAACTCATCATCACTTTAATAGGTACACAGCCATTTGATGAAAAAATAAAATAAAATCAAACAAATAATTCAATGTTGTAGCATGAACGAAAATACATATAGAAATATCCAATATTTCAGAAACATTATAGATTTAGAACTTTAAAAATATTGAAAAAATAATATAATACATTTGTGCAACAAGAATGAATGTAATGAAACATATAAGTGACACACATTCATGAAAACATGCTATAATTTTTTAAATTAAGACATGTCCATAAGCTATCATAGTTCGAATTTAATTACAGTCAGATACATAATAAGCATTTTTTACATACTACATTCATAAAAATTAATTCAATAAAATATTTATACCCATTACTAAACACAAAACATTTAAAGTTTAAATATTAATAATGACTCGAAAGCTATCACAAATGTTTGACAATTGTTTTGGTATTCTATATACTAAATATAGGTGTTTAAAAAATAGTTTAGTAACTTAAATGAATAGGCACCAAGGTCGCAACTATTAAGTTAACATTAAAATGTAAAATATTAAATTAACAAACATTAATTTTGAATACATAAATAAAATTAATCTTTGATAGATTAATACACTTATGTTAGATATCATATATAATTATAATATATATATATATATATATTATATTATATATAATTATACTTATGATTGATTTTGTTCAAATACTTCTCCACCTTAAAAAATATTTAAATGCACACAAATTCTATATATACCAATTTATTACTTTTAACTATCCTATTCAAAATTTTTACAAGATATAAATTATGTTAAAAATTAATGAATGAGATTCTAGCAACATTTATTGTTTATCCTTAAATTTTAATATTATATATTTTGAATTATAGTAGTACAAACTTAATGTCAAAACAAGTATAGTGAAATGTTATATTCTATAAAATAAGAATATAGATATTAATTTGTATTTAATGAATATTGTATGAAAATAATTGAATAAATAACAAATATTATTTAAATCAAATTTTAACTCTCTATAATAAACATTAAATGCAAGCATAATAAATATTTTTAAGTATTAAAATTTAATTGTGCACATGGAAGACTAAGAAAAATGGTAATAAATATAAAATTCAACTAATTATTTCTATGTCATTTTAAATAAGACGGAGAAGTATAACAATTTTAAACAATGTGTTTTTATTGTTAAGTGTTTTAAATTTGATTTATATATAACATTAATCGTAAAATAAAAAATAATAACAAAGACATAAATATAAATTATTAACAAATTATTCACAGTAACTAATTAAATATATTACCTAATATTCTATTGGTATAGGGTAATTAGATAAAAAATATGACCAAGTGATGGCCCCTATAAATTTAATAAATAACCATTACATAAAATAAGTTAAAATAATATATCAATCTAGTCTCTAATTTACTGAGTGTAGATACAATATAAATAATTATTACTATATAACAAAAATCATTTTCAAGATATATATCCAAAAATCTATCAAATAATATAATATGATGATGATACATTTATTTAAATTGTAATTGTGCATATTAGTTGTTGAGTTTTTATAAAATAAAATCAAAAAAATGATCATTTTAACATAATACTCTTATTTTTAACAGTCTAAGTAAATACAATTTATAGGGATCGATGTATTTAATATATTAACATAAAATAAAAATGAATTTTAACTATTTGATACAATAATAAATAAATAAAATTCACTATATAAACAAGTATTAACAACCTAAAATCAAAGTCTATTTTAAAATAAGAAGATCTAAACAATAATAGTAACAATTCGAATTTGGAAAATTCAAAAAAATATTATATCAACATAATCAATTTAAATTTCAGTCTATGCGAGGCATTTTATAGGGAGGTTCGTTTCGATACCAGACTACTTGACCAAGTATTGTCAGATCTATCATAACTTGAAGTGTGCCACACATCCAAAATTGTAGAGGTGCTTTGCGACTTACAAAATAACATGTCTTGAATGCATCGCCAGTTGTCCAAAGTAATACCATTGTGACACTAATAAACAAACCTTGAAGTTATTTTTAAATTCGGAATTCAAAATAAATTTCAAAATAAATAATGGTTATATTTTTGATTCAAATTTAGTTTGTTTAACTATTTGTAGTATATTATTATAATTTTAATTAAATTTAGATTTTAAAAATTTACAATTGGAATTTTTCTAAAATAAACACTAACATAACATTAGTCAATTAAAGCTAAAAATAAAATATTAAACTAATTTGAGTTCTTAGTATTATAAATTACATTTCTTATAAACTAAAATGACTGTGATAGAAATTAAGAATTAACTTTAAAAATGTTTACAAAGGGCGAATTTATAACAATAATTAAGATGGTTAGGATGGTTACACACATATTTTAATATTTTTGCTCTTGATGATAACTTAAGTGTTTTAAATAACTAATTCGCTATTAATTTTATAGGTTTATTTATTTTTATATATGCACTAAGTAAAAAAAAAATTGAATGCTTAAGGTACTGTTGGAATTTAAACAACTTGAATTCTAAATACATATTCCTCATATTTATATTCTTATACTTAAAATCATTATAATTCAACTATACAATAATTACAATACCTTCTAAAATTGATTTAGTTGAAAATTACTTTTTGGTAAAATATTATTTGTATTTTATTTGCAGTTTTTTTTTTTTTTTTTTTTTTTTAATATGGTTTATTCATAAACAAAACATGGAAAATACAGCAGTTACTTTAAATGTTTACAATATGGACCATAAATATTATTTATTTATTTACCGTAGTTATAATTTATTTATTATTTAAAAATAATAATTTAATTTTCTTGATTTCTTAAAGTTTAATTATGTGGCATTGTTAAAAATGCAAAATTAATACTTTGAAAAACCAATATAAGTACAAAATGATTTTATAAAGAATTTCGGAAACTTAATGTAATTTAATGAACTTTTTTTTTTTAATTTTAAATAGGTATGATTAAAATATATTAATTTTTTTTTTTAAGTATAAATAGTTTTCAGTCATGTTCTAGATATTTTATTGAAGAATTGAGCATAAACTAAATAATTAAAAAAGTATACCTCATTCCCTCTGTAGACCGGTTTCTTAAATTTTTGACTAGTTGAGGAACACCCAACATGGCTTCAGTTAGGAGAGCAAGAAATCCAATTATTTCAATGAATATGACATTATGTAGAAATATGAAAGTAATTACAGAGAGACAAATACTCATTGCAATTAAGAAATCGATATAAGATTGAAAGTCTGTCCACTGCCAAAAGTAATGCCAGTCAAAATCTTTAAATAATTATACAAAAAAATATTATTTAAATGTAACAGTTTATAAATAAAATACATTTGTAAAGTTAAAAATATTATAAGATTGTATATACCAGTAAAATATCTATCTGGTCCTCTGATTAACTGAGTTTTGTTACGGACTTTTACACATAAATGTATCATAAGTAACATCATAATATTCATAACTATACTTTGGAATAACAATGGAAGCTCATAACGTTTACCAAACCTAAAATCAATTTTGGATTTTTAAATAATACATTAACAAATTATAATTTATACTAACCAAAATAATATTCTCAGAGTGTTAGCAACTAAAAGTGCTAAGCAAACATACATTGAGAAACCTTCTGCGTCTTGTTTGATATATATTTCTCGATACTGTGGAATATAAGGGACTACGCCTCCAAATACCATGATTGTTGAACAACACCATCGAGTAACTTTTCGTACAGTAATGTCCCTCACTTCTTCTACAACTGGTTCCATATTGATGAGTTAAATTATTCAATATGTGTTTGGAATTCGCCCTGAGGATTGCCATACTATAAAATAAAATAACCCATTATATGTTATAAACATAAAGTTATAAAAATAAAAAACATTTTATAAAATAATTATTTTTATTCAAATTTATCAGATAGTTATCTAAACATGAAAAATGTATATATTGTTAAAATTGCAAAAGTAAAAATATAAATACAATAAGTATTTAATAATTCATAGTTAATTTTAAATTTATAAATATAATATGAAACTGAAATCAAAAACTTAGACCTAGATCTTACTAATAATTTTAAACCAAAATTAAAAAAATTAATAAAATTTTATTTTCAAACTGGAAAATGGTATTAAATACATTTATAAGCAATTAAAATTTGAACACATTATAATATATGATAGTATTACTTTTATATTATAGTATTTAAATAAAGCAAGGTATATGTTGTTTTACCATGATGTGTGTTTTTTTTTTATTAATTTGTTATTAGTATATAATAAATACTATTAAAATGTATATGTAATTCATTACTTATATACTTAATTATAAAATATAATACAAAACACAAAAGTATCAAAACATTTTTAAATAATATTTTAGGTAAATTATTAGGTATTTATTTTTACAAATATTAATTCACACAAAAAGATAATATATCAAGGTCATTTAAGAAAGTTAATAATTATTTGTAATTTAAAAACATTAACGAATGCTGAATTTTCTCAATTACTTAGAAAGAAGCATACATTTTTATTGTTGAATAAATTATGTTCAATGCTTAAAACATTATATACATTTAATATACATCAGTTTTAATTTAAATAATCTTTGTTACGGAACAAAACAATGGACCACAGAAAACAGCCCTTCTCAGGGCCACCACATAAAAATAAATAGAAACGAAATGGCAATATAAAATAGCACCCATGATATTACAAACTATATGTGGGAGGTACTATTTTATAATGCCAACTTAAACGGTGGGAGTCAAATCGACCCTGCCATTATCATTTTTAATTGTTCATATGTATAGTATATTAATAGAATAATTTATGTATTCAAAAATAAATATCAAAGATATTTAAATAACAACAAAAATCTTTAAAACTGTACATTAAACTAAGTATTTGTGTACATGAGCATAATTGAATATAGAATTCTACCTATCCCAAAAATAAACTAATATTTTAATTATAATTTCATACTAGTATAATATTTTCCTCTACATCAAAAGTTCAATATTTACAAATCAATACATAAATTAAGTTTAATCCAAAGTGCTATTAAAATGCTACATAATACAATTATTTATTTATTACATAGATATATAATTAATGATTTTGATTATTTCACTAATAGTTCAATTTATTTTTTTAAATTTCTCTAAAATAATTTAAAAAATATATTTTTATTTTAAATCTTCAGTAGGATTTCTAAGATTTTAATATTACATACCAATCTATTTAAATATATATAAATTAAAAATTTAAAGAAGGTCAAATGATTTCTTGAAATACTAATTTAAAATTGATACATTTTTTGCAGTTAATTTTTTACAAAAAATATAATTTGTCTAATCAATTTTGTTATAATATTAAATAACTTAAGTATACAGCTTTAGCTGATTATCAAATAAAAAAAACATTGTATATACATTTAATATAGATTTCACTGAACTGTTAGCAATGGTCGGATTAAATTTTAATAATCACTCCACAAAATAAAATAATTTGTTTCATATTCATTTTCATTATAATAACAATAAAAAACAAAACTCCACTACTGTTTTCTTAGAATTATTTCTTCAGCAAACAAAATTGTTATTCATGTAAATTTCTTATGTGTCGAGAGAAGTTTTCAAATATAATATAATATATACATATCCTTAAGTCTTGATATTAATAATTAATTGTATTATTATAATTTAATATTTTGTGTTATACCTTTAATCTTTTTAAATTTATATTATTATTATTTTATAATGTAAGTTAGTTTGTTGTTATAAAATATTTTTCATGTGTTATAACCCAGAGGTTCTTAACCATAGGGTCGCGACCCAATTTTGGATCGCCAATAATTTTAAATGGGTCGGATAAAAATTTAAAACGTTAGTATAATATTTTTATTTTTAAGTCTTATAAATAATAAATAAAACCTCATGTAAGTTGGTTATCATGGAGAAAAATTTTAACGAGATTTTTTGAATTAAGAACTGAAATAGAAGTATTTTTAAGAGAAAAAAATTCACTGTTATCCATCTATTTTCAAGATATAATTTGGTTGACAAAAGTTGCGAGTCTATCAGATATTTTTTCGTTATTAAATGAGTTAAATTTGAGTATGCAAAGGCCATTAACTAATATTTTTACATGTTGTAATAAAGATATTAACTACAATCAAAACCAAATCAAGAAACAAGCTTGATGTCGAAGCTATGATGCGTATTTCACTTACTAACTCCATAGAAGAACTCTAAATTGATTCATTGGTAAAGCAACATCAAGACCAAGGAAGTCATTAAATTAAAAATTATTTATAAAACAATACAATATTATTAAAAGAAATGTTTATTTTTAAATATAATGTAATAAATATTATGAATACAAGTAATATATAAAATAAAATATAAAATACTTGTTATGAATACAAGTAATATGAGTAAAAAAATGTTATTCAATTAAGAGTACCAAATAGTTATTTTTTATTCTGTTATTGAATATTATTTATAAAAAGGTCGTAGGAAAAATTTGGTAAATATCTCGGGTCACCAATACACAAAGGTTAAGAACCGATGTTATAACCAGTACTTTCCCTTATATTGTTTCATAGAGTATTTACCCAATTATAAATATAAAATAAAATATTGAATTAATTTTTAACTTCTCAATCATACATGTAAATAATTAAGTGCATTATGTATTATAGATTGTGATAGAAAACTTATACAACATATATTCAAGATAATTGTTTAAAAACAATTATCAATACTTTTGAATATAATTATAATTACTGAAGTGTTCGACCTAAATCCACTGTAGGTTCTTAATAGTATACATTTTAACTATTAAAAACTAATGTAGATAAAACAAAAACTCCAACAGTTATAAATAATTTAGAACAAGATTAAAAATTATAATTTAGAAAATTAAATTATTTTGAAAAAATGTTGTTGTTTTCAATTTATAGTAAACTATTTAAAATATGGAAGTATAATTTAATTTTAAATAAATATTTGATTAGTCACTAGTTTTTATATTAAATTAAAGTTTAAAGTGACTATCAAAAAATAAAAAAGTATTCTTTGGTACAGTAGCGTGATGAAAGGGTTTTTATGATGCCCAGCCCTTATGGTGAAAATGTTATGGGTGAGTGGGGTTGTGTGGTTGGGTTTAAATGTGTTAAGATTTTGAACAAATACATACTCAACAAATTTCCAAGTTATAACATATCATCAACATGAAAAACAAATGCAGCACAGCAATATACAATAGTTGATAAAAATATAACATACAACAATTAAATCAAAAATTCTGTATTATTTATATTAATTTTAGTTGGAAAAATATAAGTAGGTAGATAATTCAATCTTTAATAATTTTAGTCTTCTTCAATTAATATTTTTAAAAAAATTTCAAGGATAGTATGCTAGGGAAAGAAGTGGGTGGGTAGGTATTGAAATGTATGTTGTGCATCATGGTTTATAAATGTTCACCGCGCTACTTATTATTTTAAGTCAAAATGAGTTCATCTATTACCAATATTATATTACTCAAAATTGAAATAAATATAAATAAATCTTATATATGTATATACATTTTTTTATGCACAACTTCAAAAAACTATGTATCTAAATTATTGTTAGTAACTTAAGCTGTTAAATTCAGATAAAACATTTAAAAACTAATTACATTTTTTAAATTCATATATTTACAATAATAATAAATATTTTCATTAATCTTTAGTATTCTAAAAATGAAGATTGTATTTTGCTTAAGTTTAGGACAAAGATGACTCCAAATAGTTGGAAGAAAGGTGAGAGAGATTAAAATTTTATTTTACAATAGCATGCTAGTATATTTATGAGACAATCATAATTGCAAAGATTAAATAGATCAAAAAATAATCATCATAATATTTCAGAATTACTATTGCTCAGTTCGAATTTAAGTTGGAAAATGTATTAAAAGTTCTATATTTTTTTAACTCGCATCCCATTATTTTGTTACAACTATTACTTGCGATATGAATTTTGTAATAATATATTGAAGAAAAAACTGTATACATGTCATGGAAAATTATAATAATTGGTTAAATTCAAATGACAGGATAGAGTAATTTTGATAACTAAATTGCAAGGCTAAAACAATTATTTTTCCAAATTTAAATAAGTTCTAAAAATTAGTTTTAATATTTGAAAGTCAGAAAAAACTTGTTTTACATATTTCACTAACATTTAACTATATTTAATAACTATAGATAATCATTTTTAATGATCAATAATTACCAAAAATTAAAACATTATTAATACAAATACTACTGAAAACAAAAGAATCTAAAGTTTATGGATCTACTTTACTGTTGTGTATCAAACTTCTATTAATAAAGTAGTAAACTAAAATGCAAGTTAAATGGGTTGAACAGCTTTTAATTGTTATTGAGATTTTATTTAATAACTACATTAAGTAAAACTTTCAACCAGGGATGGACTGGCAGGACAAGTAGGCGGCCATACCCAACCAAGCCCTCCAAAAATTGTATGTTTGGGCCTCAAACTATAATTGTTCATGTAACACGGGTCGTTTGTTTGCTAGTTTGTAAAACTTATATCCCCCGTGCCTCCAGTCCATCCATGCTTTGAACTATTTAAAGTAAATGTAATGAAAGGAGCTATATGTACAATACCTAGATGAAAGTTTTAACATTTTTGTTTGAAATTTTTTTTTTCAATGACATTTGAAAATGTTCAACAAAAAGTTTTAACAATGTTATAATTAAAATAAACATAAATAATATTACATAAGTAGGAAGTCCTTTTGTTATTTATTATTTTTTTATTAAACCACTAAATAGATAGATAAATAATGTATAATGATAATAAATTATATAATAATTAATTAAACATTTTTTTTAATTTTTAAGCAAAGAAAACTCAGAATGGAATGAAAAAAATATTAAACATTTAGTTAAATATGAAAAAAATCAAGTATTGGAACTGTTTATATTAAAAATTATCATGGAAATATAGAAATCTAAATTAATACCCTTCGTTAAAAATTAAAATATTTCTTTCTATTCAAGTTCTTCCATCCCTTGTAATAATACAGAATTTAATTTAATTTTGGTAGAAAGGTAGATATATTTAACTTATCAACACAAATACAATTTAATTTTTATGATAAACTTTGCCTTCTGTTTTGTATTCTAATAAATTATCAATAATTTAACTCTGCAAAAACTATAATTACCAAAATTGATTACTTAAAAATATTAGGTATAAAATCATATTGATAACATGTTAAAATTAAAACTTTTATTTTATCTTTATTCTAAACAATAGATATTTAAATTGATTATGATTTAACAAATATAATGAATAAAATATAATATGTATTATTTTACTTAGAAACAAGTATACATTACAAACCAGCCCAAGAATTAAAGAGAACAAAAATAATCAGAAAATATAGGAGAATAATTTCTCTCGAATACATATATAATTTAATATTAAATACAGGAGTAACATGTAGGTTCATGTAATTTATATTTCAAACTCTTCTTTCAGAAATGTATCTGATTGATGTTACATAAAGGATAAGAAAAATTTATGTCAATTGTAAATCACTATGAAAATGTTCATTATCTCATTTTCATGAACATTTTGGAACGTACACAGAATGATATGTATACTGATATGGTATAACATGAAACCGCAAGTAAAGTTCTAGCAATCTGAAGACATTTAAAAATAAACAAATAGGTAACAAATAGGTAGTTACCCAAAATTCAAGACTTCATGATGGTTGTGTTCCTGTTGCCTTGATGTACAGTGGTTTATCAATCAGAATTCACATGGTAAACGGTTGCGCAAAGTTGCATCCGTGATGAAGACACCTAGTGAGGACGACAACGGTTAGGATAGGTGGCGTCGATGGCGAACGTAAACACAAAACGACAAAGGAGAGTAACACTGATCGGAACGACGAGGGTATCGGTACAAAGTAAACGAAATTTATGCACGTAAAATGTAGAGAGCTGTTGATGATCGTCACGAAGTATTATTTGTTAAACTGGCAATGGCGGTGACGATTAGCAAATTATTAAACAGACAGAGTCTGGGGCCCGGTAAGTGCATAGGTTTTAATACTAGTGTCAGTGCTGCAGCCGAGTGCTGTTGCTGTTGTTTTTGTTATCGTCGTTGTTGCGTTTTTACGACGGTCGAAGTGTATTTTTCTACACATTTGCGTGCCACCAACGGGCAGGCATGCCCGCACGAAACACCGACAGATTTGGTTTTTATTATTTTTTCTCTGTTTTTTCTGACACGGAAACACGTCAACGTCTGAAGAAACTGATTTAGAAAAATCGAATCTCGTAATGATAATGAAAAAATAATAATAATAATAATAAAAAACCCTCGGACGCGTTATCGTGCTAAAAGACGACGGGTCCCGAGTGGGTTCGGCGGAATGGTGGGCGTCGTCGTTCGAGTAGCGGTGGTGCGTGTATGCGCGTGCGTGTGTGTGGCGCGCGCGCACGCCAGAGAGTGAGAGAGAGAGAGAGAAAGAGTGTGAGTGAGTGACGAGAGAATGAGTGAGGAGTCGCGGGAAATTGAGCGACAGGGTGTACGTGCGCGTGAGTAATAGAGCGCAAGGAAATGATTAGGTGCGGGTGGGTGTGAGAGCGAGTTGCGGGTTGCCGATGAGAGTACGGAGAAGGCCTGCGACCATAATCAGACAAGTGCGCGTCGTGATCGGCCGGGAAGCGCCGTCGTTGGGGGAGGCGACCGAGAGAGAGAGAGAAAGGGTTGAAAAATAAAATTACCTTCTCTTGAGCCTTTAGGAGAGATACGTCACGAGTTGGTTTTGTAACAACAACGTTCATGCGTTCAACGTACAAAATCCACGTTATGATTACTAAAATATTAAAATATTTAATAACTGGGGTGTGTCAACAATATTATAGTTATATTTATTTATATTATAATGTAATATTGTTGACACACTAATTTGTGGTTACGCCGTCTTTCGCCTGACGATTTTATACATCCGGGGCGGATCCAAACAATGATAACGCTCGGGGGAGGAAGGAAATCGGTTATTAACATTCTAAAGGTACATATTTATGAAAAAACTAAATTTAAATTTATAACCTTTGATTTAAATGATGATAAATTAAAATAAATAGATAAAACCATTGATTTTAGGATAATGTACCTTCCTTAGTCTACCTTCCTATTGTTAAAATTAGTAGTGACTGCGTACACGTGTAACACGTTAAATTGGTTTTTATCAAATTGAATATGAGTGATTACAGCGATGTCAGTGACTGCGTCCACGTAGCCACTATTAATTTTAATTATAGGAATGATGACGTATCTGTATATTATAAAACACGAATAAAACTAAAATATACTATAAATTTGAACCGTACAAAAAGGATGTTTCTTAAATTTCTTATCCTTGAAGTAATTCCGTCTTAAAGTTATAGCTATAAACATCCCAACTTTTAATGGCATTTTTAGGAGAACAGGAGGGCCCTCCCCTAAATCGGAAACTGAGATTTCACACACGTCGCATACCAATATACTTATTGGTATGGTCACCGCGGCATCACGCGTTAACCATTGACCGTTTTCGGCAACGCAACTCTTGCATGACTATGTTTTAATTTATAAAAGTTGAAAACATTGACAAATCGATTGATTTAAACCGATGATTTATAATTGTATGATTGGTTCAAAATTTTTCATCGCAACCTCGACGAAGTAAAGACGCAGTTTATTTATAATGGATTACGTTTTTCTTGCATTTGTATTGAAAAACGTAATGAATATTAATTTTTAAATGTTCCTGTTTTGAGGCGTTAGTATAACAAAAATCGTGAATCATAGGTAGATATTTAGTCACCATAGGCGCACATAGGGGGTGATCGAGGGTGCTTAGCACCTCCTTATTTAAAATTAGCACCCCCAGTTTCCTAGAATATTTATTTCAGTATTTCATTAATAAATTGTAAATTATTGTGGTTTATTGGGTTGGAAATTTTTTTTTTCCACTATAGACAATAATATATAATATAGTTAACGAATACACGATTAAAACAGTATAATTGTATAATTGCACGTTTTACTGTTTCAGTTTTTTGTCTAACTATTAAACTATAAACAACAATCAAAATATTATAGAAAATCATATTATCTTACTTTATATTATCTACGGTTTACGGTTGACTACGAAGTTATGTTCCATTTATAACTTTGATTATTAGTTGGTTTTTAGCAATATTTAACCAGTGGGCTACACAGAATTGTATGCGAAATGACAAATATTATTTGTTACTATTTACATTTTATATACTAGTTCATATTTTTGATACATCAGGTTATTTTGAATATATCGTCAATTAGTTTATCTGCAGAAATGCTGGTCTTAAAGAATAGTCTACCAGCTAACTTTGAATTTGAAGACTTAAAAAATCAATGTAATAAAAGTTTGTTTCCAAATGTTTATAAACTAGTTCAAGTGGTAATGACAATTCCAATTTTTTCTTTAACGTGTGAACGCTCCTTTTCAGCTATACGTAGATTTAAAAATTGGTTACGCACTAGTATAGGCCAAGAAAGATTTATTAAGCTATACACGCTTAGCATTGAGAGAGATCTTACCAATAAAATAGATGGGAAAATTATATTAGAAAAATTTGCATCATCAAACAGGAAATTAATTCTTGTTTAATATATTATTGATAATAACATATTATTATAACTTATAATATAATTACTTTTAAATATTGATTAATAAATGGCAACGCAGTTGATTATAGTATTAGGGGGTAGGGGGGGCAAAGTCCCCCACGGACCTGTATATTTTAAATTATTCCAGCACCCCCTGAATTCACACACAATGTGCGCCTATGTTGGTCACATAATTTGGGGGCTTAACATTTTTGTCTTATACATTAGCGTAAACAGACATTTTTAGACGCTTCAACCTACTAACTAGTGGCTACTCCTACATTATTCTAGTTGAGGCACCAAATTTATACAGGTAATATGAACATAAAATAATAAAATATTGAATAGTTACTTATTTATATTTTTATTTTAATTATATAAATCTACTCCTTTATTTTCTTTATTATCTACAAAATATGGTTTTCCCCAATAACGATAGTCCAGATTATTCTCGCATACTAACAAAATAAAATAAAAATTATAAGTATCAAATATTAAAATATACAATTTATTTTGACGTCTAGTGTGGTTTGATTACGTTTAGGGGGAGGGTTAAGCCCCAAGTTCCCCCCAAAATCCACCTATGTCGTAAATCATAAATACTGTGTTTAATAATCTTATTCAATAAACCATGATAAAATCAACCAATGAGTTCGTTTTGATATTATTTGCTGCACTAGGTAAATTAGGATACTATTTTGAAGACAGTTGAATAGAGGCGTATAATGCGAATAATGCGATTAGAATTTACAGAGAATATTTTTTATCAGAAAATACAGTCAATTGGCAGTAGGCTATATAATATAATAGAAACGAGTGACTAAAAAAAAAAAATAAAAAATATCAACTATTAATAGTTGTCTACTACATACCGCTGTCATTATATGAAGGAATATGTAATATTGAACATAGAATGTTTTTATAACTAGAGCAGATCTGAATGTGCTAGAAATAAAACCATATGTATTAATAATAATTGATCATAAAATGTACAAATTAACCCGGGAAATTTAATTTTTGTTAAAAACTATAAAACTTGTTATTGTTTTTTTTTTTAACGAATTACTTAACAACTAATAAAATGTATGCTAAAAACGTAGAGATTATTCTATAAATAATAACATTTAAAAAAAAAAATTAAATTTAAAAACAAATTTTGATTACCTAGGTATGTAAAACAACTAATTTGTACTTATTAATTATGTATGGATGAGAAATTATGAAAAAATCAAATTACGAATAAGCACATAACCCGTCAACTTTAATTTACGATAAGCAAATTAGTTTTACTTTGTATAATGTAACACACATTCACAGGAGTTGCCCAGGGCCCTGCGTCTTAAATTATAATTAAGGTCCCGCAGTTCTGATTTAACTGAACTTAATGAACTTAAAATATTTTATTAATAAAAATTATAAGACCCAACATTTATTTTGCCAAGGGCCTCACAAACTCTAGCACCGTCGCTACACTCATTACTAAAATTATCTAAATTTTTAAACATTCATTAAATTAGGAATTTAACCTATCAATCAGTATTTTTTTTAAAAATCCTAAAATACACAAATGTTTTCCAACTAGTCAAGACACAAGCATCTTTAAGGAATAGCGAAAAATAATAACTACTATTTCATCATTTTTTTTTTTTTTTGTCGCTTAGTATTCATTGTCAATATACTCGTATGATCTTCAGTTTGTTCACTAGATAAAAAATACATTATTTGTTTTGGTAAATTTATAAATTAATAAAAGATTTGACTAGAGTATCGTATTTAAATGAGAAAATCTGGAAAATGTTAGAAAGAATTTTTGAAATCATTCAAATACAAATTAGTTTATTTGAAACTTAAGTTAGTTTTCAGTCACTCAGTTTTAAAGGTACCTATACAAAAATATTACATAAGACGAAGATTCTTAAAATAAAATTTAAAAAATAGGTTTGTAGTTATTAGTTCCTAATATGGAAGTTTTAATTTTAATATGAATATAATAAAGTATAGTATTATTTAAGATTTTTTCCTAAACTTTGTTTATGAGTTATGACATATCAATATGTAAGTATACAAAATCCTCCAAGCAAAATTATACACTTTTATATTGTATACATATAAATCCACTCCCTAAAATTGGAATCGTCTGAAGGATTTTTAGAGCCTGGAGCAAATTAATTCGGGGGCCCCTCAATCATCACAATAATATACGAGTATGATAAGAAAATACGTACCAAATTTGCAAAATGTTGGTAAACATATTTTTTCAAACTTCAACCAATAAAGGTTATTTAAATGCATCAAAACAATTAATTCAATTTTTAATAACTTCTACTAATATCTAGTGAACATTTAATTTTTTCCAAAATAATTTATAAACAGCAATAGAAAATAAGAACTTTGATATTGTCGCGTCGATATTTGCGATAACGAATTTCTAAGTAAATTAGGATAAAATAATGTCATTCTTCACACTTCGGCAATAACCATAATAAATTACAGTTACAACTATTTAGAAATTAAAATAATTGAAAATGTAGCCTATATAATAGCGCTTACATATAAATTTAAGTTAATTTAATTTAATTTAATTTATTAATATTTTATAAAAAAAAAATAGTATTTAAGTAAAATATATTAATAACAATAATCTCTAAATAGGTAACGATGAGTATTTTTAATCAATCTGGACTTTACGAGGGTTCCCTTTTAATTTTCTTCTGGGGCCTGGGAAAAAATAGT